CTAGTATAACCAAGCCCTATTCTACAGCATACTTTGCTTCTTCGGGCAAAAAAAAGACTGCCAACTGCCAAAAAAATAAGCTGACTCAGAGAAATAATAGATATGGCTCGAGACCTCAACAGTAATTGTGGTCAACGACACATATGAGATGTATGAAAGAAGAGATTTATAAATAATTTTAGCATATGCGCAACATAAGTTCACAATAGAAACCATGCACAATTGTGCCCTCAAAGTACATGGATCTGTTTCAATCTGCAAAAGCTCCCTGTGATACCCAATTACCCTGTTTTAAAATTTGTTGACTTTTCTAATCAAGCCAAACAATATTTCTACCGTAAGTGCATCAAAGTTTCCCAAAGATGTTCTGATTTGATATTGATCTTCCTTCTTCTGTGGACTGACATGTATACATAATTAATGAATAACACTAGTCATTAAATACATCTTAAGCAGGTACCTTTCTGTCACTCAGGGGAGGCTTTGCAGACCCAATATCTAGACCACGGTAAACCTGCAACAGAAAACCTCAGGAATAAATCCACTGGGGAAAAGATCTCATCACTTATTGCAAACAGCCCTAAGGAAAGAAGACTCATATAGAAACTGGAATCTAGACTTAATGCTTATAATAATTACAAGCTTTCACAAGTCAACTGTCCCAGGAGGCTCCAAAATGAACACAAACATGTCATCCTCAACACGGTTAAGCTTGTTTCTGAAATATTGCTGCCTTCACAAGATACGACCCCAAGTTGCCTTTGGCATCATCAGGGTTAATAACAGAAATGGCCAAGGAACAAGCGCCAGTAATCTATCGCAACTACAACATGCGGGTTATCTACAAGTTTCCCACCAGCCATCAACTCTAGTGTATAGGAACACTAGCAACGAACCCATGTTAAGAATCATAAGGATACATTTCACCAAACTACCTTTGCTCCTATTCGGTAAATGTCCCAATTAGTCTTACAAGAATATATATATATATATATATTTGGGATAAAATGTGTATCTCATTTATCCAAAAGACTATATTTGGGATAAAATGTGTATCTCATTTATCCAAAAGACTAAAAGTACATCATGAGCAGCTTATAAAACTGCTACTACCAAAGGAAAACAAATTACAACTGAGAGTACCTTACTAACTTCTAGTTCTTCACAATGGCTTCAAGACTCCATTTCAGATTACAAAAAAAAAAAAAAAAAAAAAAAAAAAAA